GTATTTATATATCGACTTCCAGAACCGTGCGTATATATGCATGAAGTGTGTTTCTTACACCACGGATACATCTCTGCTTGTTTGCGCACGTGTGCACGAATGATCTCAGCGTAAGCTGCATGTGTGTGCATAAGATCGTTATCTGTGCGCACATTTGAGCAGGACAGGAGATGCACATCTACACACAACCCAACCACCCTCATCCCGTTACCTTTGTGTGCACACACATAGACATACACATCTGCCATCAAAACTCCTCATACTGTACGCACCGTACAGTCCCAAAATGATCATCTGCGCCTTCTCACTTTCGCACACATTCCGTCTCGTTGTATTCTCGTTGTATTCTCGCAGGGTCTGGATTTGCAAATGGTGGGCATCTACACCGACGGTGTACACGAGGACATTGCGCACGTGGCACGAGTGTTTGGCGTCCACGTGTACGCCCATACAAAATCCGTGTCCATGTCCAATAAGAACGACCGCTTCCAGGCCGCAGACCGCATAGCTATGAACTACAGGTGTGTTGTATGACATAGACTCCCCACAGGCAAGAGCGAAGCATACGTTCATCAGGATGTCCTGGTCAATAGTCCCATGGGCCATGGGGGTTGTTTGGTATCAATAGCACGTGGATGGCATCTTGACGGTATGTGTCCATGTGCAGTAAGTAGGACCGCTTTCTACCCGCAGACCGCAAACCTATGAACAATAGTGGTGTTGTATCCAGAGTGCTTGATACAGTATATTGGTATAGTAACCCTATAGTACAGGTATACCTAGAGCTTATGTAGTCACGTGCACAGTCAGACGGGCACCCCCAATCAGCATGGCCAAGCTTACAGACGAGTGCTCCACTGAAAATAGAGGTCAGTTCCCATGGCAACACCTGCGACCATGTTCGTGCCCAGTGAAAGTGCAGGGTTATATTGACCTGCGCTTTTCTGCTACACTGGTACATCTCCACGTACGAACCATGCAGAGTATATATGGGATCTCTTCCCGTGTCCTGTTTTCATTTCGTTATATGAGACTCATCCGTGTATACTACTGTGTGATTGTGAGGTACACTCCCATCGCGGCGCACTGGGGTGTTTGTGGGGTCCAGCGAGGCCTATATTCGGGCGAGAAATGAGTCATTTGCCAGTTGGTGACTAATTTTGACTGACTCGTGGTAGCCCTGATGTTAGTAGTACATACTACCAAAAACCCTAAACCCAACCCTAAAACTACCATTAGTGCTGCCTCATTCACGTGTGCATGCAGCTTCACCCCTAAGTGTATGCCGTGCCCCACCGCTTAGTTTGTCCAATAAACGGACGTGATATGATAATTTCAGTAGATGCCGATTAATGAATGGTGTTCTTTCGGTTTTACACTCCGTCTGGCTGGCCCAAAACCAGCCCTGATATTTTCATAGCATATCAATTAATGGTTGTATTGTCTCGTTTCTCAAATGCACCCCAGATTCGCCTTAGGAAAGGTGTGGAAGCTGTATCCGGGCGTAGAGCAAGCTATAGTGCTGGAAGAAGACCTGGAGCTATCCCCGGATTTCCTGTACTACTTCTCACAGACCATTCCGATGCTGGCACAGGACCCGAATCTTCTGTCTATCTCGGCATGGAATGACAACTCAATGGAATGGACGTCACATGACCCATCCAGGTCAGCTATATATGCAGGTCACGCAGAGTTATATGTAA